TCAGCAGCACTAATCTACAGGATGTGCAATGATTCTCTGTGTCTCTTTAACTTTCTGCATCACTCCTGCCCCCGTCCTGTGGATGCAGCATGTGGCTCTGAATGATTTGTTTTATGGAGGTTATGTGGCCAACCATGCAACTCAAACAGATTGACTGCATGCTTTAACAGAAGCACCAAGCACTTGTATTGCTCAAATGGAGTTAGCTGAACTGTGGACTGCAAGAACACTCATATGCTCATTTGTTTTTGTTTTATAGATCTGCCCTTCTCATTTACAGGTGTGCCCTTTTATTACGGTGGCCTGGTAAAATTATTTCACATGCTTTATTAATTTAAGCGCTTTTCCCCCATCAGTATTCTGATGAAAGCATCCTCGTCCACTTGAGTTTGCAACACCGTTTTAGTACTTTTCACCTCAAATGGTCTTATGTGTGGCAATAATCCTAAAATTGGACAGTTTTACTACCCACATTTCAAGGATGTTCACTTAACTCAAATGTAGTGATTTTAAGCAGAACTCTATATGCTTTCTTTTTTTTTTTTTGCATTAGGAATTGCTTTGTAAACCTTCCTAAAAAGCACTCAAACAGTTCTAATACAACATAAAATGTGGAAAATGACCAAATCTCTAAAGATCTATGGCTTCAGGCGAGTACAGAAATGATAGAGTGAAATGTAGCATTGTGGGAAAGGGAAACAGCAGTGCATGTCTACACAGTGTCTCTTGGGGCAGCATAATGGCGCAATATTGAATAGTAGCCTTATGTAACAGGAGGAGGAATATTAATGGAAGGTCCTCTCAGGGTGGAGCAAATGTTGTGGTTGTGTACGTGAGCGGCAGAGGTTACAATGACATTTACAGTGTTTTGCTCTGTTTGGCTGGCTGAATCCAGCTTGCTGGTGATACTTGTCTCCATCCAGCTTGTCTGCGGTCACACAAGTAGGCGGCTCACTGGGGAAGCATCTGCAGCATGTTTGTGTTGGCCCCAGCCTGGCCTGCACGCTCCCACCATCTGCCAGGTGAGCTCCAACTAACAGCGACGTGACCTCTGACAATCCAAACTGAAGGCTGACTGTCAGAATCAGAAGGAAGCAGTCCAAGATGATCTGATTTCATTCACAGGAGTGCTTATGTTGTTATCAGCAAATCCTATAAAATAGTTTTAAAGAAGGCTGAATTTCTCCATGATGTACCTCATAAGCAGCAAGCTGTAAAGCAGGGGTGTCAAACTCACTTACAGAAGGGGGGCCAAAATTTAAACCTTTTTCAAACTAAGGACCGGTTTCAGAATCTACATTAACTCAAGTCAGATACCCAACATCTTTTCTTGGTTGCAAGTTCCTCAACAAGAGTTTGATTGGTCTCATTCAACGTTCTCTGTTGCACTTTAAACATCATAATCAAAGTCTAGTGAAAAAAATAAAGCGATAAAAGTATTTTACGTTTGAAAAAATCATCTTGGGGGCCTGATAAGATGTCAACGAGGGCCACATTTGGCCCCCGGGCCTTGAGTTTGACACATAAAGGGTTTAGTCCAATACCTGTTTCTATCAATATGATTAGAAGAATTATTTTTTTTTTCTCAACCTCAAAGGCTCATTGAAATGATTCAGAAAAACCATAATTTACATGAACTACAATGAAGACAAATGTGTCCCTCACTGATATCGTATGTTTGCTATACATCGGGTTTTTTTCATAATTTTAATTTTAAATATTTCCAAATAATTACATTTGTCCTTAAAGTAAAGAAAGAGATTCAAACAAATAAATATTTGTTCTTTCCTTTAGAAGGTGGTGGTGTAATTTATAAAAGATTCAGATGCAGACCATGTCCCATACCATGATGCCACCCCCACCTCCCATTTCACAATAAGACAGTTCCTTCAACTGAACTGGAGTTATTTCTTTCTCCTAATATAAAACTGTTTGAGTATTTTTCCCATTCTTTCCTGGCTTATCCTTGTGATCTTTAACAAACTGAAGATAGACTGTGATAACTGTACCGTAGTCTTTGCAGCCCTGCTGTTTCTCAGTGTTTCCCTGATGGATGATGGACTCAACACCATGAACACAAGTCAACCTTAAAGTGGAGAATAGTTCATTAGAAGACGCCTGATGCCGACCCTTCGAATGATCTTTGTTGATACTTGAGAAAGTAACAAAGATCATAGATGTCCTTTCTTGTCTGAATGTAGGCAGATGAAGTTCAAACCTGTCAGAGAATAAGTTAATCTCAAGCATGACAAGATGTTGATTTTTAAAATCACCCCTCTGATTGAAATCATCAGACTTACTTAAAACTTCAGCGGTTTAGATCAAGTTACCATTTACACATTAGATTTGAAAGTAGAGAATAGATTATACCTAAATGGAATATTTTGCTTCTTTGTTATCGTTACTATCTGGTTGTCAGAAGAACTGATCCTTTCTTGAGAAATAATCTACAATCTGAGGGCGTCGCAAACCAATAAATATTGAGCTTTGCTTATAGACAAGAATGCACTGGCTTTGTTTATTGTACTGAAGCCTTATTTTCTTCAAATATATTAGGGAAAGTAGAGGTTTTTAACATGAACAATGTTAGTCATTTAAAAAATGTATGCCTGAACTTATTTTTAAAACAACAACAATCTATATAATCCCTTTCATGAAACCCGAGGACATTTTTACAGAGGGGATTAGACTAAAGAAACTAATAAACTATCATAAAAACAATAATAACATAAGCAAAAAGACTGACACAGGGTCAGCTTAGAGACTGGAGGATAAATTTAGTTGAACTTTGGTGAATAAGTAACATTTAAGGAGCTTTTTAACATATTTCCAGACATGAACTGTTGAGAATGTCAGATCATTCCAGAAGGTTGGGGTTTCATATTGGGAGCTCTGTTTGCATGATGGACAGAGAGCAGTCCAACATTGGGAGACCTGAGGTTTTGGGATTGAGGGTACGGTTGAAGGGAATTAGAGAGGTAATGAGAACTTTGATCATTCTGAAGTCTACCAAGAACTTTACCAGGCATCTCAAACAGGACGTGATGAAGACATGGATAAGAGTTCCTGCCACAGAGTCTGGGAATAACGCCCAAAGTCTTGAGATGATTTTTATGTGAAAAGGGGCAGATTTTACAAGGGTTTTAATGTGTGAGTCAGGGAAGAGAGTGGAGTCCAGGATTACACCAATGTTCCAAACCTCGTAGGAAGTTCAGGTGGAACAGCCATTTACATCCAGAAAAACGTCTCCAGCCTTCATGAATCGAGTCTTTTGGGCAACATCCAGGAGATCACTTTTACTATTGTGGATGGACTGGTGCTGATGAAGAGTTGAGCATCATCGACATATGGGTGGAGTTTGAGTCCATAGCGATACTCTGGGCATAGTCATGAAAGGATAATGGCGCTTTACAACAGTGAACAGTTGAATTTAGGCATGAACAGTTTGGTAAATGATGGTCCAGAATACAAATCTAACTTTATCTATAGTATCCCTATGACACAGCATCACTGTTACTAGTGCTCAAGGTTGCTGTATGTGTATAGGCAGATACACACACACATCTCACGGTGAGTAGTGTGAAGCCAAGCTGACACAATCCAACACCTGACCAAATATGTGAGTCCGGTTCTGGCCTACCACAGATGCTGTGGCTATCTAAAGTGTCATTTGTTCATGGCGCCACACAGGCAAACTAATAGCAACCAAAACAGCACGATCAATAACGCTATTTGTTTATTCAGCTCAGTGCTGATGTTATTGGGACAGTCGATAATCTTTCTGATGGGATTGTAGACAGTTGCACTCGTGTTGTTTTGTTGCTCCTTTTATTAGAGCAAAGAGCAGATTATAACGGCAAACACAGATTTCTGATCATGTGTTTTTGTCAGAACATGTAGCTTTTTATAGATGTATCCTGTTGTTGTAGATGCTATTTATGGACCAGTAAACTGTCATTTATCCTGTTTATTTCGAGGAACGTTGGGGTGTACAAGGAAATTAATCTCTGGTGAGTTGCTATCAGTGCTGCCCCATGTTTGTGTGCTACAGGTGGAAGGGAGGTGATATCAGCTGACCCAGTTTCCTGCCCGAGGCTACAGGCATACAGTCTAACAAGGTTAAGTCAGGTCCTCTGGATGGATTCTTCTTTGTTGAAATGTTTCATCTTTTATCCAACCTGGAATTTTCCCTTAAATTTCACACATCACATAAGTTAAAGAGCAGATTTTCCCAGGCTGGAGAGGCTCTACTAGAGGGCTGGGGTAGCACTAAAGGTTAAAGGAGTAAGCGGATGTGCAGCAGTCCGACTAATGTGAATAAAGATCAATAACAGTTTGAGATGAGTGGCTCAGCTTCTGCCGCATCACAAGGTTGCCATGATAGTTTTCTGTTTACCAGCTGCTGTGCTTTGGTTTCCATTAAACGCTGCTGACTGGTGCGTCATCTCATCAGAAGACAATAAATGAGACACACTGATCAGGCTCAGTTGACGTGACACCAAAGGATGCTCGTGGGCCTAATTTCAAAAAGATTTGCCATACCTTTATTTTATTTTATTTTATTTTTTTGTTACATAAGAGGTGGAAAACTAACTGTAGTTTGTGTGTCTTTGTGTGTATGAGGACACTGTACACCCTAATTTTGATAGATGGCCATGCAGCCACTTGTGGCTCCCAAGAGTTTTGTGGTTTAACGGATTCAGCTCAACAGATAGATCACCATTTCATTTCTGCCTTTGATTTAAAAACGTTGTGTCACTAAGATTACAGCTATTTATTCCTAAATGCTGCTACAGCCCCAGAGCTGCAGCAATATCTGTTCCAATTGCTTCAAAGATGTAATGTTCACTTGTGATGGTTAAATCTGAGAGAAAGATGCTCTTCATGTCTGTATTTTTAGTCCTGTTCTCTGCGGTGCTGGCTCATTGTTCTGATACTCTCTCCACTGAATGTCTTGGTGCAAAAAAGCCACATGGAGGAATTGCATTAACATTTTCTGTCACCATTTATTAATTCACCAAATACAGTGAAAATGGCATCATAATATACAATGACTCATTCTTAGAATGTCATGACATTTTGTTGCTTTTTTGCTTCGTAAAACAATGTTCTTGTTTTTAATTAATTTTTTTTTTGTTGTTGAAAATATTAAGATTTCATGCACAACAAACCATTTTCTGAAAATAATGGTACAAAATAAACATAATTTAAAAAAAAAATCAAAACTATGATGTTCCAAAAGAGGTCAAATAACAACATGTTATTTGTGGATACTCGTAAACAGTGCAATATACTCTAAAACTGCCATTTTCTAACAAATTCATCAACGAAGCTTAACTCACAGTATACGATTTCTTAATAATAGTTTAACATTGATGTGTGCAAAACAACTCAAACACATTCAGTTAGTCTTTAAAAAAGCCTGACCTGTGATACTGAGCGAGACCAGTCCACTGAAATCTTGGATTCCTCCCCAGTCTCTCATTATACCTACTCTGAAGTACAAATAGTTGTGTTGATGAATTATAAGACAATAGACTAGCATATACTTTAATTTAAATAACAAATATTTAGATATAAAAATACAAATATGACTTTCATTAAAAAGAAGCGTGCCAGGGTAGGAGTGGGTGGCACCTGCGTTGGCACCAGGAGGGACCGTTCATGCAAATAGATGGAGGGAAAAATCGGCGTTTATACATGGATGAAACAAAGAATCTCAAAGCAAATTAAATAAATTAAAGAAAATAAATTGTCCCCATCGATCCGCATAACTAATATTTAAAACATTGACTAGGATCGTCACGTGGCTGCTGGCTTTTGTCAATATTTGGAAATAAAACGGTAAAAGAGGGTAAGGAAAATGAAAGATATGTGCAGGTGTAAATCTGCTACATGAAGGTGCCAGCCCAGACCATAACCACAGATGGTTAATACAAGAAGAAGAACATAGCCTGGTTTAATCTGTGGCCTAATGCTGTTTAGATGCTCAAACAAAGAGAGTTTTTACTACAGAAGTTATCAACATTGCACCGTCCTCGGTTATATGCTTTTATACATACAATGAATGAGTCTCCTCTATTTAATAGGAGCGTTTGGTTGTTTTTTTTATTTTTATATAAAGCATTAGCAACAACAGGAATACATTGGACCAGTGCTGAAAGACAGCTCCCTTGAAATGCACCGTTGCTGACTGAATCAACAAAAGCAAAGCCTTGTTGCTTGTTGCGGGGTGGGAGAGGCGACCGGGAGCTTATAGCTACTGTACAACTGACTGAAATAGGGCTGCTTCACCCTCTAGTTGCAGTGTCTGGTTGCTTACAGCGCTTTATTTATTTCATTTAACAGAAAAGAGATGGTGGTGAAGAAATGACAAGTTCATCCATCGTTTTAAGCCAGCGGAGGATGAGATACAGAGCCGTGTATCAGCCGTCTCAACATCCTGCTGCACACCGGCGGTTAAAAATCGGGACTCGGTTTGGAGAATTGCCAGCAATCCCACCAGAAATCTTGGTAATTTCCCCCCCACACACACACACCCTCAGAGTCCATCGTCACCTCTCTCCTCCATCCCCTCCTCACACCTCTTCCCTCCTCTTCCGTTGCCTCTTTTCATCCTCCTGCCAACACTTCGAGCTGCCGTTTTCTCCTGCAATCCTCGAACATGCACAGCCGTCAAGTGCTTCAAATCGGTGATCAAAAATTAAAAAAGTCTGCAAGGCATCGATGACATTTAAACGCCGGGTGATGATTTGTCCGTCATTCCCTTCAGGACCTCGTCTATTCGGTCGTCCTCGATGACCACTGTGGAGGAGAAAAGAGCGATGATGTTTACATTGACGATAACCTAGATGATGCATCAGATTACATCAGATTACTGTTAATACACCTTTACAAATCTGCCTTGACATGTTGTTTTTCTGAACTTCTTAGAGACTTAGAGTGGTGCGAACAACAATAAAGGATCTCTGACTCTGACTTATTAGGGGAAGGGGACATGGCGTGTTGAAAAACATGCAGACAGATGTGACTGTAGTGCAGCTGTAAGGGAATAAACCAAGCATGATGGCAGGAGGCACACCTGGTGAAAACATGTTTTTGCTGTTGGCACCGAGCCAGTCTTTTCTCTGCATGGTTTAAACCTACTGTGCAACGAGTGCCTACGTGGGGTGTGTCCTTGCATGAAGATTATCTCTTGAATGTAAACAGCCAAATTCTGCAGCTGCAGTAAGGTGGTACATTCACACAGTGGGGGTAAAATGATCGAGACGAGTGCATTATTCATTACACAACAAATACAAAGAGAATAATAATTAAACCCTTGTTTTTGCCTATGTATGACTTCTCTATAATTAGCATCTTATGGTGCCCTGATAATATCAGCAACCTCAATAAGCACAATGATTTGTTTAATGGTGGTTTACCTCGCTTGGCTCTGCCGATCTGTCCAAGCTTTGGGGGTCTTTTCGCCTGCGACGCAGCAAAGAAGGCGCTTGTGTCCTGCAGTCCACAGCTAAAGGACATCTGACTGACCTCACTGTCCGCCCCATAGCCGTTCATTTTGCCCTCGTTGTATGGCAGCACTTCAGACATTGTGGCACCGAGACTGGAACAGAATCACCAGCAAGGAAAGAGAAAAGCAGTCTTCCTTATTCTAGGAGCTGTAGATCCTTCTTTATGCAAGCTGGAGCTGTTGGTGTGTGTCTCTCCTGCTGGGGTCTTCACTGAAAAGTGTGTGAAAATGTGTTGAGCTCTCTGGATGTGAGCTGGCTGCAGACAGATGCTGTATCTGTGTGCGTGTGTGAGTGTGTGTGCAGAGAGAGATCCGTCCGCTTGTGCTGCTGGCTGAGGTCTGGCGAGGGAAGTGGGAGATCCCGGGATCATAAAGGAAACCCAGGCAGAGCGGTGAAGTCATCCATCCGGGTGTGAAGAGAAAGAGAGAAAGAGCGTGCATGCGTGTGCGTGCACGCCAGGGCAGTGATGGAGGAGCGAGAGAGACACCAACAGGCGAAAGGTTTAGTTTCATCCCTCCTTTTTTAAGATGCGTTAGTCCCATTAAAAAAAAAAAAATTTTGTATGCTCAATCATCCAGGTAGATAACACAAAAAAGGTTAAAGCGTTTCATCTGGACCAGTTTCTTTAAGGGAAAAACGTTTCATCTTCCATCCGGAAGACTTCATCAGTCTGTGGCCTGCCAACCAGATCTGTCCCATAAGTAGCCTTCGTTGCTGTGTTTCAAGCCAACATTATGGGACAGATCTGGTTGGCAGGCCACAGACTGATGAAGTCTTCTGGATGGAAGACGAAACGTTTCTCCCTTAAAGAAACTGGTCCAGATGAAACCATGTAACCTTTTTTGTGTTAGTCCCATACCTTTATATCTCTGAACAGCCTTTATGATTTCATCAATCACCTTTCTTCTGAGCAGAATGGGTTTGACACAACAACTAACGGCATGTTGCAGTAAAGAGCCATGGTTTTAGCTTTAAAAGGGGGAAATAAAACATGAAAATGTTCTGATTTAGTTGTGCTCCAAACAAATAAGTGATGCATAAATTGAAACCAATATATATATATATATTTAAGTATGTGTAGAGTAGGATTTTTATCATTGCTTCTTTAATTTGGTCATATTTTGCTGTTTATTAGGATTTTTTGTAGACTTCTAGAAATAAAGACCAGAGTTAAGAACAGCATTGGTGTTCTGTAATAATTCTTACTTTGTACTTTTTTTGGTTAAACTATTGAAGAATGGACCTGTAAATAGTTTAGAGATGTTTCTTTTTCAGCAGAGATCATGAAAATGGTTCATTTCTGCACTGTAACGGGGTCATACGGTTCATGACACTGTTCATTCATGCAGTGTTACTGAAACTTATCTTGTGCTGACACAAAGGAGGTCTTTTAAATGTATTCTTTAATTATACAAATGTGACGGCTGTGGTCTTGATATATATGTTGCTTTTAGAATTTCTGGGACAAAGATGCAGGCCTAAGAGTGGAAATAAAACAAGTTCATGCATACTGCCTGGTTCCACACAGAAACATCCCTTTGAGAAACAAACTGCTGAGACAAGAGAACACCACTGCTCCCCATCAGGTACTAATAAAGTTCTTTTGGAGAAAAGTGGACTCAAAATGTTACTTTTTGTGTGTGAAAAAAAAAAAAACTAACTAAAATTAAAGCTAATGAAAAGGATGCTAGTTACCACAAAACATTAACCAAGTTGCCAAAGTTCATGCTCAATGATCCAGGTAAAAATCCAACAATGTTCAGTCCAAGTTGGTTTCTCTGCATGAGAAATCATACATCTTTCTACTCGTCTGAATGTATGCATGAATGTTTTTGGGTCAGAAACATGGTAAGTTGTATTGTGTCTCAGCTCATGATGCACAGCTCTGAACACCAAACCCAGCTGACTGAGTGCAGCTGGTCTGTGCTCCTTCTCTGCCCTGATAGCAGGCAGCAGTTGTTAATAATCAGCCTCAGTCAGTTCCATCATCTTTGACAAGGGCATCCACCCTGAAAAAGCATGCATGTGCATGCACGTGTGTGTGCGTGTCTGTGTGTTTGTGTGTATGGGGGGCATCTGTGTGTGTGCTACTGAGGCACAGCTCCCATTTACAAGTGAATCATTGTGCTGAGTCACTTAACCCCCTCCCTATATGTCTCCAGGAGCCGACCAAGCTCTGCTAAACACACACACACACGTGCATTGTATAAACACACCGTGTTCTTCCTGGAGGAACACTACAGCTGGGGAAAAACACGAATAACAAGCCTAGAGCTGCCGGATCAATTTATTACTTAGGACTTGAGTGCATGTGCATGTGTGTGTGTGTGTGTGTGTGTGTGTGTGTGTGTGTGTGTGTGTGT